ACAATCTTTTTAGTAGAGACAGCAGTGACAGGATGAGGGGTAATGGTTTTAAACTAAAACAGGGTAGGTTTAGGCTAGATATAAGGAAGAAATTCTTTACAACGAGGGTTGTGAAACACTGGAACGGGTTGCCCAGAGAGGTAGTGGAGGCCCCATCCCTGGAAACATTCAAGACCAGGTTGGACAGGGCTCTGAGCAACCTGATCTAGTTAGCGGTGTCCCTGCTCGCTGCGGGGGGGTTGGACTAGATGACCTCTAGGGGTCCCTTCCAACCCAAAACTTTCTATGATTCTATGATTTGGCTTTATATTCAGTGAACTAAAATCACGAATTTATTTGGCTCTGTATTCTTTCAGCTAAGACTGTAAATACCAGAGTCCTGTCTGCTCTGTATGAATATAAACGGCCTCAGTGGAGTTCAGCCGGTTTATAGCAGCAGAAAATCAAGGCCAGAGGATCAAAGGGTCTTATCCATGTGAGCAGGGATTTGTTTCCATCCCATCTTCTTCAAAAGGTTCTGAATTATCTGGTGAGTACTCTCCATACTAAAATTGTTTTCTTTCAGTAGCGCTGTGTGTATACAAGTGTATATAATGATACCTTTGTGCATTAATAGAAATATCTTTAGAACCATAATAATGTCTGAGTCAGATTTGTCTGCATCTCTTTTAATTTCTTCAATTTTTGTCTTACTCTTTCACAAACATTACCTCAGCTAATAATTATTCTTCCTTTTATGCCCACAAGGAGTAATTCTGAGCATTATTAACATCCGAGCTTGCACCACAGCCATACAAGGAAACAACCCTTCAGATTCCTGCCCGAGCGGAAGGACCGCTACACTTCCCTCAAAACTCCAGGAGTTCCTCCCCGTAACTCAGAACCCATCAAGACTGTGGAAAGAAACAGTCCGTATCCTTCTGGTAACACCCAGGTAAGCAACAACTTTAATACAGATAAGCTCACTGACTGATATGGATGTATATCTCTACTGCACTTTAGACATCAATGAAGTCATGAATACAAAGGGATTAGGGAGATGCATCACACAGCCTTCACTTCCGATGGGCTGACCCAACATCAGAGATTTTGCAGTTCAAAATCCCTGTCAGTGCAGTAGGGAGAAAATCCTGTTCCCTACTGCAGCAGCCCTTAAGTCGATTTCAAGTAGCACTTTCAGTTTCCTGTTACATGCTTGCGTTTTGCCTTTAATTCTTTAGGAAAACGGGAAAAATGTTTAGAAAAGACCATAAATAGAAAAGGAGAATGTCCCTCACCAACCCCTGCTGAAAACATTAACTGTTAAAGAGAATACAAGTTACAAGAGGAACAGACATATATTATTCAGACTCCAAACCACCTCGCAAACACTGAAACAATTCCAGGTAACTAACTCCATGTACCTGTATAAAATTTAACATGCGCATGAAGTATGTTCTTAAAAATGACAGACTGGTAATGGAGGAGAGGAAAATATGCCTCCTCTCTGAAGGATAATCAAATGAAAGGTACGAGCCAAAAACAACCACAGGGGCAGGCCAATAAAATGTCAGGTTCAGAAAATGTAGCCTGCATTGCCTGATCTCCACTGCAATATTCATCTCTGTTAACGAAGAGCAAAATTCTAACTCATGAGTGGTGTAAATGTAAGTGAATTATCCCCCTTTCTCTGCATAAGATGGATGTCACTAAAGAGTTCCAATTTTGTTGGATATTCTGCAGTGAAGTGTTTCTTTATATCAAATGGAACCATATAATGACTACATTGAATGACACTTACGGAACATAATAGGTATTCTGAACATTTGGTAAGAGAATCATCTGCCTATGAGAGAAGGAACTGAACGGCTGGAGGTATCCCTAATGTACAGGGGAAAATTGATAATGAATAGAAAATGCATTTAGAGATTCCAGAGCTGATTTGGTCTGAAGATCATTATGAACCCCTGGACAAGTTTTCTCATTGACTCTACTGGCAATAGGATTCCAACAGGACTGATCTATGGTTTGTGCGTCTCATACCTTTCTAAAAAAACACCAAAAAAGTGCCAAATTCATCATTCCACAAACCCACAAAAGTCCACCTTTATTTATGGTTGATTCTTTGTCTGCAGGATAGCAAACTCTGGACACAGATGTCTCTCAGACTGAAGGTTCCTTACTTTATCTTTGCTGTACATACATATGTTAATGAGGTTGTCTCCCTTAATTTTCTGTTGATGTTTTAAAGGCTGACCTTGCCTTTCTTCTTAATTTCTTCCTCCCAGATGTGCTCCTGGAGCTTTTCAAGAATTTACCTCTTATCCCTCTCATTTATACACATTATCTGTGTCTTCCAGAAGATGAACTAATAAATAGATCTGCTCAGGAATTTTTCACTGAAATCCACTTGGATCTGAAGCACTTTATTAAAAGTATCTTGGATTCAACAAAACACTTCATTGAATTCAAATGAATTAACATTAAAAAAAAAAAGTTTCCCAAACAACAGCAGAATCTGCTATACAGCCAACTGCATGAAAAACTATTTTAACTACAGTACACGCATGCTTTTGAGTGTAGATGTTAAAAATATCTTTCTCATTACCTTCTACCAGCAAGGACCAGTTTTTCTATGCAACATACTTGTAGTTTTCACTCTCCTTAAACATCTTGTCTGAGACCACTTCCTTTTCTGCTTTTTGTTAATCTCACTCTTCAATTATATCCCCCTAATTGAGGAAAATTCCATTCTCCAAAACAAATGCTGTTCAGATTTCAGTGATATGTGATTATAGTCTACAAAATTACTGATCCAGAAAATTTCCTCTGAAGCATCACAGCACCTTTCTGTACTTTTATAAACTGCTGACAATGGAGCAGCTAACCAGCCACAGGGATTTCATCCAGAACCTTTAAACAACTTGTGGTTTGGTCTCTAGCCTGTCTGCTCAGACACTTTTCCCATATTCATCATGTTGATCACCCATTTCAGAAATAATGGAGATAGGCCAAGGGCAACATGTTGGTCAATAAACTTTAGCTAATGCAGTTATACCAGAAAAAGTCCAATAATACAATTCAGTGTTGTGATGTTAAACCAAGACTCAACAGCAAAGCTTCTACAGTAAGCTGAAAAAAAGTGAATTCTAAACACCTCATAGCAAGAGTACATACTACCTTGTGTCAGAGATGCACACTCTTCTCTCCCACCCATACTCCCTGACCTTTATTCAACACCAGCGTCTCTTGTATTTCAGTGATGCTGAGTGTAAGCCATAAGCTGGTATTTGGAATCATCTGTAAAAAAATGTAAAACCTGACAGCCTTTCAGTGGCAGTTCCTTTAATGGATGGGATCATATTTTATCCTCTGTGCAGAAGGCTTTTTGTAGCAGTTCATGCTTTAATTGTTAGGAGTTGCACCACGTCAGTTTTGATACCCTCAAAATTTTATTGGAAACATGAATATTTTTTTCTCTGCACAACTGAAGTAACTCGAAAGACAGAGAAAAAACCCCAGCATTCACAGATTCATTTATTCTTATAACACTGTATATTTAAGTCTTACAACGATAGGAAAAGAGTTTATAGACTGATTTATCAGCTGCAAAAAGCTACTATTTGCATTATTGAAAGAACTAGGTAAAAGGCAGCTTTAGGACTAGCTTTCCGCTAGTCAGGAACTGAGTCAGTACAAAACATAAGCTACAGTATCCATAATGCTATTCTGAATTCCACCAGCTTATTTTGGTCCTGTGGAACAAATAACTCCAGCATACCTAGCCTGAGCCAACACAGGATTCCCCCCACTCAAGGACTTTTCTACAAAAGGGAATTTACGGCTGTCATTTGAGACGTCCTTCCAACTGCTTCATACCACCTGGAAAACAACAAAGCAGCTGAGCTCTGGGGCCTAACAATACTAAAGGTCACTGATCTATACAAAAATCCCATTGGATTTAGGGACAAACCCAGACCTCCTTAGTCAACCTGAATGCCTAAGTAAATGAGTGTATAGACACATAAAAAGGACGGAAATACCTCCTCTCTGGCTGAAGGGCTACTCTACAAGCAACTCTGGACAAGCACCATCTTTCTGTTCTGTGTTTTCATCAGGACAAGGAGGTACAGAGAAAGGCAACCTCAGGCTCCAAGGCATCTTGGTAGAACAAACAAAAAGGATATAATTTACTAGCTGCATAAATAAAAACACTAAATAAGGGTACAATGAAGAGCAAGATTTACCCCCTAAAAATGTTATTTCAACAGCACTGCACAGAAAGCCTTTGACTCAGTCTTCAGCTCGTGCTGACTTGACATCCATCCCTGTTTTCTTCTCTTCAGACAATTCCATAATGGCCTTCAGCTCAGCTTCAGAGAACTTAGGGGTCAGTGCCACACTGTCATAATCAAATTCTTCATCAAGTGAGAATGGTTGAACATCATCCCCTAGCAGCTGTAAGGAGGAAAAACAGATACATAGATAATATTGCTGCAAGTGATGATAAGGAAGCTCAAAATACAAACTTCTAATTAATATCTAATTAAACTACTTTTTCTGACTCTAGCACTCTCAGCTGATTAAGCTCCTTTTAAGTAAAAGAATAAATTCAATTATTCAATTTGACCCAATTTAAGCCATTTAATGTGCCCCGTTTGTACTGTACTGTATCTAAATGAATATCATTAACCAATTTTGCTCAAGGCAAGGAATCTAAAAACCTCCCTTGCACACATCTATTACATTCCTTCCACTTGTAGCGACAGGGCTGTGAGGATAAGGACAAGTTACATACAGCTGTGTTAAATTTCAAAGACAGATTCCATATCCTTAAAATTTGGGCTAGTATCACATAAAGCTTCAGTGTACACACATCTGATATTAATGTAACACGCTTCCCAGAACACAGTTTCAGCAAAGGAAATGCCTGGAATGAGCAAAATGACACATAATCAATTTGCAGACTTCAATAATTTATTTTCACAATCTCAGAAATATGTAATTGGCTGGTTTGGATCTCTTGCATGAGGAACATAAGAGTCTTTCTACATTTGCCAATATTTGCTTTGTTGACATAGCGTATAGCATTTCTGTATTGCTTCGCGTTGAAATATCTTAGAATAAATGCTCTGCCTATAAAATAAAATAATGAAAACAAAACACTATGTCAGGCTGCACACTGATAAGGAGCTGCAGGGGGCCATGACACAAAAGGTTTACGGTAAGCAGTTACATAAAATTAATTCCAGAGCTACACAGGAGACACACGCTCACTGCCCAAACTGTACAGGAATGCTCCCTATCCTCTAAGAAGTTAATATGAAGTGTCTAGAAATTTCAGCCATGACAAATAGCATGACTCCTCAAGGTCTCTGTGTTTCAAAGATTTAAGTACTTCAGTACCAAATCAGCAAAACATTTAAACGTGTTTATTTCTTTCAAACTTCTGATGAATCCTCAGTGAAGCCAACGACTACTGATGTATTCGAAGTTAAGAACACACTTATTTGTTTTGCTGAAAGAGACAAAGAACACTCAGGACCTTATGGTCTCCGCTCAGTTTAGAAGGCACAGTCTCCCACACGATTTCTGGTAACATTTTGTAAGAAGCTGTATTGACACAGTTAATGCCATCTAATAAGTCAGAGAAGTGGTAGCCGGATTCCTCTCTGGTGGCCAGGTACCTGACAGACACGGGAGTGAGTATCTTGCAAGTATCTACATCCTTTATCAATAAACTGTAATATCGGCTGATTGATCAGGAAATATTTTTTCTGGTTTTGTATAATTTTATTAATCATCTATTTTGCTTAATGTTCTAGGGACCTGGCTTACATGGGCTTCAATAGATGCTGGAGCATATAGATCATGGAACGGCTTGCCCAGAGAGGTAGTGGACACCCCATCCCTAGAAACATTTAAGGTCAGGTTGGACGGGGCTCTGAGCAACCTGACCTAGTTGAAGATGTCCCTGCTCATTGCAGGGGGGTTGGACCTAGATGACCTTTAAAGGTCCTTTCCAACCCAAACTCTTCTATGATTCTATGATTCCATCCTAGATGCAGACCTGTAGACCATGGGCATTTATAAATGAGAAACACAAACTGTAGATAGAGTTGGTCTAGAAAACAGTTTTCATTCTGCATGCAAAGATTATCTTGCTTATGTCCACAGACTATCCCAGGTAAACCACCACTAACTTTTATAATTAGCACATTCAAGAAATATTTACATGAGACAAAGCCTGCACACAAGCTCTCTTTCCCACTAAGGCTAAGGTCAGCTCCTTTACCTCCTCATCATATTCATGTCCAGTTTCACCTTTTCCACGGGCAAAGCCTAGGAAAATTCCATGCCACTAAGGGTACCAGCAACGGGGTAACAACTGGTACCACCAGGGTTCATTACTACCTGTCTTTCCTTTGCAGAAATACAAAACATTCTTCTAAAATATGATGCAAGGTGCAAATAGTTTTCAGTTAGTTCAGTTGTAACAATATTTGTTACCACATCTAACTAGGTAACTAAGCTAAGAAGAGTTTAAAATACTGTAAGCCTTAATAGGGATTCTACAAAAACAAATCTATTCTTCCCCTCCCCAACAAGTTATGGGAAGTATACACACACACTCACTATGCCCTTGTGTTGACCTTCATGTCATTACAGGAACTTTTTATGCATGTGCAGAGAAATACTGGAAAAACTTTTGTTTCAAAAACTCGACCCCAAAATACTATCTGAAATTAGATGCCAAAGTAGAACATACCCAACTTCACTGTTAACAATTTCTCTGTTACCCACTCACTGCACATTTGAAAAGTTTATTCATATTGCATATTTATCAGTGTACTTCATCTCTCAAATGAGTACTCAAAGCACTAGGGATTCTTTTTTTAATTCTTCTCCCAAGAAGCCATTCACTTCAACCTTCCACACAGACAAGCAATCTAAAATTTTTATGCTGCATTTTGATCTATTTCAAAAGGAAGACATTTTGCAACAGAACACTGAAACCTCTGAGCTGATCAAGTTATTATCTTGTTTTTTTTGCCTAAGGAGCTGAGAGAAATATGAGAATTTCAGGTGTCTAATTTAACATCTAATTGAAATCTTTTTGAGAGCTCTCTGGGAATAGAATTTTGCTCTATTAGAGAACTGCCAGTTTGCTTAAGACTGCTCCTGTGATTTACTCTCTGAAGAAAAAATCATTTTCATTTACAGTTCCTGCATGTCCAAATTAATGGGGAAAAGAATGTAATGTTCATATTAATAACTGAAATATTTTGCTAGAGGCTGTTTCACAAAGTAATGTTGTAAATAAAATACCTTAAAGTTGAGACTTTCAAAAGTCTATTAATAATCAGCAACTTGGTTCTTTTTATTAATCTGTGTGGAGTTACAGTTAACTGAACAGCTTGTCTCTGTCCTTCTGAAACCTTTATTTCTGTGTAATTATGGCACTGTGTGATTCACTTGTTCAAATTATGTAAAGGATGCACATACACTCAGCAATGATTTCATTGTATACTCAAGGGAAAACTTACTAGTTCGATAACAATAAGTAAAAAAGTGGGGCGAGGGGAAGGCATGTATGCTATTATCTCACGTAAGCTTAATATCTACTGGGGTACTTGGGAGCAGAAAAAAAAAGTTTGCTTTGAGCTTGGGGCACTGGATTGGGAGTTAATAAATCTTGACCAATTTTCCACTTCTGTTTCATCATTCTGGACAAGTCACTCAACCTCTGTGTTTTTACTGGCCTCTGAGAAAATGTAACTCTTCCAACTCCCTTCACTTTGTCAGTTCTCTCTTTATGTTCTTCCTTGTTCTTGTTGCATTTATGCATAACACTCAGCAGAAACAAACCTCAGTTGAGCCCTATCAGTAAAACCTTAAACCAAAGGAACTCAACAGAAGCTGTATTTTAGTTTATAATGCTGCCATTCCACAGATAAAGATAAAATGATAGGCATGGTCTATACTTATTTGAATGCTCAAACTAAAGACAAACAATGGAGAATCAAAGGGTAGAATTCATCTTTCCTAATCCCAGCCATATAAAAATTAGGCTTCTAGATTAAGGTAGTCAATTAACCAAAAGAGACCCAGCCTGAGAGTCAGCCTGTGGACGGAGATATATTACATCTTAGGACAAATGCCTACAGCAAGTGGGATGAATTAGGTTTTGGAGGTGTTTATCTCCCCCTCTTGATGACAGAGGACTAAATTAGACTAAATTTAAAGCTCAAGATGAGATGAACCCCACTTTGAATGCATGTTTATAGTGCGTGGATGGAAAATACGCATTCATCCATCCGCACTCATATGTATGCAGAGGGGAAACAGGAACAAATAAAGACCCTAGGAAGCAGACATTAACACATATTGTTAATTAAAAAAGATATGGTGTCTTTTATGAAAGAAAGTATTAAGTAGAAATAAAGGAGAGAATAAATATCTGGGTAGGGAAGGTAAATATTCTGTGATGATGTACTTCAACCACGGAGTGAATGCTGTTTCAATTTGCAGTGGCCTGCGGGAGGTTATGTACATTGCACTGTCGATACTAAAATTCAGGAATATATTTACATCTAAAACCCAGGAAGAAAGATGAAGCAACATTGGTGAACAACACAAATAATTTGCTGTGTCATTCACTAAGCCTCTTCACAACAGCTTTTAACAGAAAAACATTTTCAGGGAGGCAAGTTGTTCTTTAACAATTAGCCAAGTTACTCACTGGGTCTTAGCAGAATTTCTCTCTCAAAACTTTCCCTAGCAATATGATCACAGATATACACCGTCCCCTAAAGTCCTTCACAAATACGTCCATAGCTTAGACATTTGACATCCTACATTGCATTATCAAGCTTGTTTATTTTTCATAGGGAATGGTTTTCCATTCTCTTAAAAAAACAACTAGGCAGCCACATTCTGTTGCCTTTCCCTAACAGATTTGTTTCAATGGACAGAGAACAGTCTCATTTCAAAGCAGTGATGTCTCCAGTAGGGCAGACTTTGGCCTGTTTAGGAGCCTGGTTGACAGAGACCCTTGGGAGGCAGTCTTGAAGGACAAAGCAGTCCAGGAAGGCTGGACATTCTTCAAGGAAAATAATCTTAAAGGCGCAGGAGCAGGCCATCCTATGTGCTGAAAGACAAGCTGGCGGGGAATAAGACCGGCCCAGCTGAACACAGAGCTTTGGCTGGAACTCAGGAGAAAAAAGAGAGTTTATGACCTTTGGAAGAAGGAACAGGCAACTCAGGAGGACTACAAAGGTGTCATGAGGTCATGCAGGGAGAAAATCAGAAGGGCCAAAGCCTAACTAGAACTAAATCTGACTGCTGCCATAGAAGACAATAAAAAGTGTTTTCATAAATACATTAACAACAAAAGGCAGCCTCATGACAATCTCCATCCTTTACTGGATGTGAGGGCGAACATCGTGAAAAACGATCAGGAAAAGGCTGAGGTACTTAATGCCTCCTTCGCCTCTGTCTTTAATAGCAGGACCAGTTATTCTGGGGGTACCTAGGCCCCTGAGCTGGAAGACAGGGATGGGGAGCAGGATGAAGCCCCCATGATCCAAGGGGACATGGTTAGTGACTTGCTACACCACTTAAGACATACACAAGTCTGTGAGGCCAAGGGTACTGGGGGAGCTGGTGCAAGTGCTCACTGAGCCACTTTCAACCATTTATCAGCAGTCCTGGCTAAATGGGGAGATCCCAGTTGACTGGAAGTTAGCAAATGTGATGCCCATCTACAGGAAGGGCCAGAAGGAGGATGTGGCGAAAGACAGGCCTGTCAGTCTGACCTCAGTGCCAGGGAAGGTTATAGAGTAGATCATCCTGAGTGCCATCATGCAGCATGTGCAGGACAACCAGATGATCAGCTTAAGTCAGCAAAGTTTATGAATGGCAGGTCCTGGTTGACTAACCTGGGCTCCTTCTATGACAAGGTGATTCACTTAGTGGATGAGGGAAGGGCTGTGGATGTTGTTTACCTGGACTTCAATAAAGCCTTTGACATCATTTCCCACAGCATTTTCCTGCAGAAATGGGTTACTCATGGCTTGGATGGACATACTCTATGCTGGGTAAAAAACTGGCTGGATGGCCAGGCCCAAAGAATTGTGGTGAATGGAGTTAAATGCAGTTGGCAGCCAGTCACAAGGGGTGTTCCGCAGGTCTCAGTAGTGAGGCCAGTTCTGTTTAATAACTTTATCAATGATCTGGATGAGGGGATTCATTGCTCCCTCAGAAAGTTTGCAGATGACACCAAGTTGGGCGGGAGTGTTGACCTGCTTGAGGGTAGTAAGGCTCTGCAGTGAGATCTGGATAGACTGGATCGATGGACCAAAGCCACCTGTATGAGCTTCAACAAGGCTAAGTGGTGGGTGCTGCACTTGGGTCCCATGCAATGCTACAGGCTTGGGGAAGAGTGGCTGGAAAGCTGCTCGGCAGAAAAGGACCTGGAGGTGACAGATGGCTGAACATGAACCAGCAGTGCTCCCGGGTGGCCAAGAAGGCCAATGGCATCCCGACTCGCATTAGAAATAGTGTGGCCAGCAGGAGCAGGAAGTGATCATGTCACTGTACTCAGCACTGGTGAGGCCACTCCTCAGGTGCTGTGTGCAGTTTTGGGCCCCTCACTACAAGAAGGACATTGAGGTGCTGGAGCATGTCCAGAGAAGAGCAACGAAGCTGGTGAAGGGTCTGGAGCACAAGTCTTATTAGGAGCAGCTGAGGGAACTGGGGTTGTTTAGGCTAGACAAAAGGAGGATGCGACCTTATCGCTCTCTACAACTACCTGAAAAGAGGTTGTAGCAAGGTGGGTGTCTGTCTCTTCTCCCAAGTAGCAAGTGATGGGACGAGAGGAAATAGCTCAAGTTGCACGAGGGGAGTTTTAGACTGGCTACTAGGAAAAATTTCTTAATTGAGAAGGTTATCAAGCATTGGGACAGGCTGCCCAGCGAAGTGGTTGAGTCACCATCTCTAGAAGCGTTTAAAAGATGTGGAGATGTGGTGCTTAGGGACATGATTCAGTGGTGGAGTTGGCAGTGTTAGATTTTCAGTTGGACTTGATGATCTTAAAGGTCTTTTCCAACCTAAATAATTCTATGATTCTATTCCAGGGAAGATTTTCTCTTTCTAAACAAGTCCTGACATAAGCAATGCAAGACTTAATTTTCAAGGCAATGACAATTTGAAGCACTGAGGGATGGACCTGTTGAGTCTTGAGAGTTCTAAAAACCAGGCCGCAGTTATATATTATCTAAATGAAATCACAAATATGCGTATAATTTAGGGGAAAGACTTGCTTCATCTTGAGTAGCCTGGCACCAACCAAATGGTTGTGAAAATCATAAGTTTTTCTTCTTGAAAAATGCAGCAACGCTTAACCAATGTAATATACTCAGTTTCTATTTCATAACCCAGCTTTTCTTCAAATGGAAATGAATTTTGCATGCAGTGAGATCTTCATCTATTTTTCATGAATTATAGTTTAAAGAGTCATACGCAATCCTTTATGAACACTGCAGGCTGCTACAACCCTCCTTCTTCTTTGGTTTTATACAGAAGTTATCAAATGAGAAAACTATAAAATCTCATTCTAGGTTTTTTTTTTTTGTGTGTGCCAACGGATATTTCTCAAGGCAAAAACCTTGAATTATGTCAATCCTTAGGGAAAAGAGTGAGTATTTTTATTCACTGAATGGTGGGTATTAAAGCTTGAAAGGTCATTTTAGAACATTTACTTTTTCCCAAAGCAGACTTGTTCGTTATAGTAAAGAGTTTATTGCAAAGAACTAAACATAGTTGAGCTCTGGAAAGGAGAGACCACGTGCACTGCTGTAACATCAACCTTTCACTGGTCACGCTTCATTTATAAACTTGATTTAAGCCTCGTGGGACATCAATAAGCACATGAAACTATCAAAACTGGCCCATTTTAGCTGGAAGCCAACTTCAGCTTTTATTACAACAATCAAGCAGGGGCAAAGAGTGGTAAAGAATTCTCTGCAACAAAAACATCCCCAAAAGTTAATGCTCACACTGACAATTTGGATAGGAAGCTTAATGACTTTAAAAAAGCCTGCGAGCAACGCACACCTTCTGTTCCAGTTTGAAAAGAACTGAAATTCTGAGGGAAAATGGCAATGTTAAATCAAAGCTTGTATTGATTGTGTCTGATTAAAAGACTCAGACTCCATAACCCAAACCTCTCCACACCAGACCTAGACAATGCAGATCCTCAGCAGCATCTTGCTACTATTCATTTCCAAGAGGACAAATCCCAATTCTGATCACAATATATTCCAAAATCTTTTTTTTTCTTCTAAATGTCACATTAAAGGGATCATTCACCACCTCCTTGTTGCAGAAGATGGTTCCTATATTCAGACCAGTGAAAACTACAGGATGTTGTAAGATCATGAGATCACTGGAAAATTACCGGGTCATTCTGTGTAAGTAATGATTTGTTAAAAGGTCAGGGAGTGCAAGAGTTTACTTGAATATTCTGTGAGTTACACCAATTAAATATTAAAAAGCCCACAAACCGTTTCAAGTATTGAAGCACCTATTTTGAAAATGTAGGATTATATAGTAGCAGTGCGCAAGATAAAACAGTACCTTTCTATTAGAGTGTTTATCTCAATTCTTAATGTATTTAAGAATTCATTAATAATTTAAAAATTAACAATGTGATTTGTAAACTCATAGCAGCTCCACACACTCCATCTATACCCCTCTGTTCTTGTGGAAATAACATTAGAAGCCATTAGGTAAAAAAAATCACCACAACCCCCCAATGTTCAAATAAATAAATCTGACCTCATACCTCTTGGGCTTTGCTGCCTGATGGCTGTGGAGCTGACAAGGTTCTGAACTTCAGCTGAATAGGCTTATCAAAAAAGGGTGTACAGTACGTCACTGTCTGTTCCGCCTCTCCTGGGAGAATTAATGTCCAAAAAGCAGTCAACTTTACCCTTCCATTCAATGTAAAAATTAGCAAAATCCCGTGTAAAATCCTGCAATGCTAAGACACAGGCAGAAGCTTGTTAGTCAGTTTGCTGTACTTACTGTTGCTTAATACACAATAAAGACAGCTATCTTTAAAACAGATCCATGTAGTCCTGAGCCAAAATCTAGATAATACAATAAACTATACTAAGGGAAAATCAAATTTGGTTGAAAATAAACAGGTAGCTCTTCTTTCTCGAGCACACTGAATTAAAAATCTGGATGTAGATGCTCCTAAACTCAGAGACCACCTGGGATTAGATTAATCTCTTTCATAACAAAGAAGGAAGGTCCTGAGAAGAAAGTCTGCAGTGGGAGTTACAAAATATCAGACTGAATCCTGGTCTTGCCACTGATTAGCTGGGCAGTCTGATTCCATTCTCTTTTGCTAGACTTTCACCACATGTACATTGGGCATAAAGAATCTTTGCAAAGCTTCTTAACATGACCCTCCCGAAACATGAAGTAAAAGCACCTGGCAGAAGTACTAATATTCCCCACTACAGTGCTACATGACTCTCTTGTCCAAGGATATTTCATGGATGTTTGTTCCTCCTCGAGCTTTCCAAAAAGAGGTATTTGAGAGGACTTCCCTGTATCTGGGACACAGGAACATGTACCATTTCCACACGGGCAGGATTTGGTCCACAGTTCACAAATGCACAGACATTTCTGAACTTTTCCTTTACATACTTAAGCAAAATGTTCATACTGGGAACAGTGGGTTTGCTTTCTGCGACAGCTCCGAAAGATATGCTTTAGAAATATCTTTTAACATGAACCTGTCTCAGCTCTGCTACAGCGCAGATGTACAAAGGAACTTAAGGAGACCATATGTCTTGCAATTTAGTCAAAGGAGTATGTAAACCTACCTACTATTTTTTTCTGGCTGATACACAAGTTTCTTTACAGCTTTATACCACATTTTAGTAGCTTGATTTCCTGTTGAAATCTCAGAATAAATTTTGAAAGTGTTAAATATTAGTTAATGGAACCAACAAGAGGGTACATAGATCCAGGGTGAAACGGAGGAAGTGGCGATCTATCTCTACCTGTACGCTTTTATCACAGTAGCAGAGTTGCACACCTCCCATTCTCCTGTAAATCTGCATTTGAAAATAATGATTTCCTAGCTAGCCCTTTGTAAAAAATTCATTATCGAATACTTCATTTAGTTTTCTTCTGGGAATTGTGTACTATTTCAAAGCCAGCAGGGCTTTGGACTTGTAAAGTAGAATGTTCTTTAAAACAGAGCTGAATTCATTCCCTTCAGTATCTCACTCATGGATTTTTGTCTTTTGGTTCACAATTCATGTATAAGTCATTTCCAGTTTTCATCCCTATTCTCTTGGTTGCTTATGTCTATCTCTAGTCATCTGTGTGCTTTCAGTACTTGTTCTCCGCATCGCATTGTTCTTATTCTGCATCAGTTATATGAGAAACCTTTCTGAAAAGAACAGTGCAGTCCACAGGTATGTATGCTACACCTTCACATGCTCTGCAACTGCTTTTTTCAATCTTCAATAATTTGGGTCAAAGCTATTTGTAGGACAGAAGGAAGATATGAATGCTCATTTAAAGGCCATGGCATCTTCCACTATTATTTCAGACTTGCACCCTAAATATATACCCTCACTGAAGGAAGGAAAGCCTGGACATCAGGAGGTTTGTATCACCTCCTGGTATAAACACTGATTATTTCTGTACTAAGAGCTTCCGCCCCCCCCGCCCAAATAGACCAGTCTGTGGAGAGAAGATGAGGAGGAAGCACTGTTATGCAACAGTCTGGCAAAGGCTCAGAAAGACAACTCATAGAAATTAGGACAACAGAAGGAAATTTATTTTTGCTTTTAGCAAGAAGTGCTTGTCATACTTAGCATGTCAATTCCACTATTTTAAGGCTTGTTAGTAGTGCAAACAATGTTTCAAGTTCCCTTCAATCACCCCATAAGAATGTGGTAATCAACCTTTGTTTGCCAGTAGACATGCCAGAAACGAGCTTTGTCCGTCTATCCTGGCTACATGACAGTATATGAAAGTCTAATCGGTAAATGCTGCTTTCCCTGATAATGTTTAATCAAGAAACTCCTTCAGAGAGAAAAATTACAGAGTTTTGACAATCCTCCTTCTCAGTGGGAGCTCCCACAAGAATGGTAGGCTATTGTAAGTTCTAGCCAGTACCTCACAGCTGGTTCAGGCTGATGCTATAGCACTAGTGGATGATGATCCTAATTAAACCGCTAATTATGTTCTCTGTGATTAATTAGCAACAGGAAAGCCTTGGATACTGCCAACAGCACCATACATAGAGATAACTGAACAGGCAGCAAGATGAAAAATTTGAGAAGAGATTTGGAAACGTATCTCTCCTCATACCATGAAGAATCAACTTCCTGGATGACATGGCAGTGAATGCCGATGATTTTACTCAAGTCCAGCATACTTTAATGAGGGCGTATCTGGACAATATTGTATTGATCAATTCTCTTCTCTTTTGTCTCTTCTTCCCCCCTTACATAATAGACCCAAAGAAAATGGTTACTAAATCTGTGACCACTGCTGAGTTGGGGATTTTTACTCATTGCATACGACTGACATTAATTACAACTATAGAAAAAATTAATCTATTGGCACAAACAGTTTTGAACTTTCAGAGTGAAGAAGTTCAAAGTCTTGTCTAAATCTTTGGCATTACTTTGGCCAAATCATGCTCAGCTATAGGTACACTAACACAGGTTTTACCACTTCCAGACACTACATTTCACAAAAATGCTGTTGATGGGGAGCTAAGGAGGGATGTAGTTACAACGAAGAAAGCTTAAAAGCTAAATTTTACTGTCTCCTCTGATTCTCAGGCTTCAGGTTGTTAGCCCCGAAGAGCTGCCTAGTGTGAAATCATCTCGAGGCAGTGTTAAGTGGATTGCAGAGACTGGAGGAGTAAAAAACAGATTTACCAGCGGAGGTAGCCCCGTACTTGAAAAAATCCACATAATTTAACTGTGAATCCTCTCTTGAACCTGATTTTTCTGGACGTAAATATAGGCTCAAAATACAAATGGATAGGCATAGATTCTGAAAAATAACAGATATTGATATAATTTGCCTAAAGTATTATTTAAACAATCAAACAGTTACGCTTGACCTCAGCCTCAAAGTAAGTGAGTCACCTGGGTTCTCCTCAACCTCTGTGAGGTTACACAGAACCGGGACTTTGAAAAGGCACGTTTACAGTACCTCAGGGCTCCAAAACAGACTGGGATGAGACTCTGATACCCTTGCCTATTCAACCTCACCCATACATTTCATTAATCTTATTTAAATTTTCTCTTGTATTTAAAAAATAGCACACTGCAGGTCTTTAGACATGCTTTTTACATATTTTGTACTTTCTACAAATATTTTGTATTCTTACCTAACTATCCTTCAAGCCCAGCAGCACGTGATTTGTCACCCATCCTGGAAAGGAATTCTGTTGCCAAGACATAGGTACTAGGCATTCTCCATCCATCCCTGGAGAAAGCCTGATCATCTCTATTGTTGCCTTAAGCTGCTTACAGTTACAGATTAAATTCAGTGAGAAAGAGCGATTAAACAGCCCACCATACACATGCTGTCTCTACACAATGCATTAAAGCTATGGTTTAGGGCAGCAATTTTACTTTGCCAATTGTGGTTTACTGTGCCAAAGTCACAGAATGCAAAGCACTGCCCTGGTTTCAGGCTTTCAGCCCAGCACTGTCTAATGAAAACAGCTGCAATAAATTTGCATACTGGCCAAATCTACAGGCTGCTATTTTTTTGTAAGAATCAGCTGTATTCATTCACACCTTATAAGACATTGGACTTAGGAAAATAAGTTGGAAAAAAAGAGGAAAAAACCCACTAGAATGATTCTTCCAGGACATCTCCCAAAAACCACTGGTTTAGATGGGATGTTTTAACACCTATTATCTATCGTGCTTTTCACAGTCAGCTCTGAGCCACTTCCCCTTAAGTGTGAATATTTATTCTACTTACATACAGTTGCTAACTCCGCTAACTGATCTGCCCCTTAAAGCTAAATGAAGTATGGAGATACTGAACTGTTGCCAGTAACAAGCATAGATAAAAGTTTCTTGTAAGTATACGACCAAGGTGTGATACTTTTCATTGGGTGTCCTAGCTTGTTTTGTCAATATGAAGTCTTAAATCTATCATTTGTTCTGACACACAGGTGGCAGCATTTAAAAAGGCCAGCAACAGAATGTCTTTCAGATATTTGACACACTCTGCCTCCCTTTAAACTAACTGGAATTCTTCAGAATTAATCTTTTATTAAGGTGGTCAAAAAGGATATTATTTTATGTTACTTTATTATTACAAACAATAGAAGCGACACCATTTTATAACTGAATTTGTATTTTGTTGCTATGTTTTCTACAGGAGTAAGATTATACCTCTCTTATTATGAAGCCTATAAAGTGGATTTTGACATGAAAGATAACTATCAAACTATAAGTCCTATTTTCTGCACTTAGGACTCAAGGGGAAATTTTTCATCTTGACTCAACAACTATCTCCACTGAAGCAGCCCTGGGCAAGACCCAGGCTGTGGGTTTCCCAGATGTGAATTTGGACGCTGTTCACTTTCCTTATAGAGTTTGGAAGGAATAATTAGCTTCTAGCTATGCAGTGTTTTGATGTTATAAAATACAATCTAAATGCTTAATTTTGTCAGTGAGCACTGCTGATTGCTTAGGGGTTGATACGACTTCTTTCTGCACTGAGTCAGTCTGTGCAGGGAGTGTGTGCAGGGAGTGCTGTCTCACAGGAAGAGCTGAGGAGAGCAGAGACTGAAAGCCAAATCAAATGTCACATAAAAAGCAAGTAGTTAGCACACTGATAATCTACACTAGTGGTGGTATAATGTTATGTTTATTGCTTTTATAATCGCCAATAAAAGCACTAACTGAAAGGTTTTCCCAATGTAGCTTGCATAAAGTGCTATTCAGATAGCACAAGCAGATGATCATTTCTGTAATTCTCAGCTTATTCAAATGCAGTCTGTTTTACTAGGGGTTGGTAAATGTATGTGATTAACGTTTACTCTTGCACACACACAAATACACACAAATAGACAGAAATGACTGAAAAGTCTGGAGAGAGGCAAGGTCTGGCATGGTCCAGAAAGCAGCAAGTTATCCCAAAGCTCTGGCAAAGCTCTTCTTTCCTCACTGCCCTGCTTGGTATTTTAGTGTTGGTTTTATTTCTCATCACCCAATTTCTGACCTGCTTTGGACTAGAGATATCTAACAGTACTTCCATGAATCTGTTGGACAGACAACACAGCTAGGTGCACACAGTCCCAAAGGTTCCTGCAGAGCACTGATGGTAACTTTTTGACACAGGAGGAGTCAAAAAGGGCAAGTGTGCTGCTGGACCTTGCACTGACAAATAAAGAAGGACTGGTTGAGGATGTGAAGGCTGGGGGCAGCCTTGACTGCGGTGACCATGAGATGGTGGAGTTCAGGATTCTGTGTGGAGGAAGCAGGGCAGTAAGTAGGATCATAACCTTGGACTTCAGGAGTTAACTTTCACCTCTTCAAGGACCTACTTGGACGAATCCCATGCATTAGGGCTCTAGCAAGTACATGGGTCTAAGAGAGCTGATCACTATTCAAGCATCACTTCCTCCATGCTCAGGATCAGTACATCCCCATGAGTAAGAAATCTAGGAAATGAGGCAGGGGACCTGCATGGATGAGCAAGGAGCTTCTAGCAAAACTCAAATGGAAGAAGGTGGTCTACAGAATGTGGAAAGAGGTACAGGGCACTTGGGAGGAATACAGGAACATTGTCAAAGTATGCAGGGAAAAAATGAGGAAGGCTAAGGTCCATTCAGAATTAAATCTGGCAAGGGATATCAAAGACAACAAGAAGTGCTTCTTCAAGCACATCAGTAGCAAATGGAAGACTGGGGAAAATGTGGGCCTGCTGCTGAAAGCGGTGGGTGCCCTGGTGACTGAGGATACAGAGAAAGTAAAGTTACTGAATGCCTTCTTTGCTTCAGTCTTTACTGCTAAGGCTGGCCCTGACGCATCCCACTCCCTGGAGTAAGAGAGGAAGCCTGGTGAAAGGAAAACCTTCCCTTGGTCAAGGAGGATCAAGTTAGAGATCATTTAAGCAAATTGGACACCCACAAATCCATGGGCCCTGATGGGATGCACCCACGAGTGCTGAGAGAGCTGGCAGATGTGATGTCATTGCTGAGCCACTCCATCATCTTTGAAAGGTCCGGGAGAACAGGAGAAGTGCTTGAGGACTCGAGGAAAGCCAATAGCACTCCAGTCTTCAAAAAGGGCAAGGAGGAGGACCCAGGGAACTACATGCTGGTCAGCCTCACATCCATCCTGGGAAAGGTGATGGAGCAGCTCATTCTGGATGTCATCTCTACGTAAGTGGAGGAAAAGAAGGTTATCAGGAGTATTCAACATGGATTCACCAAGGGGAAATCACGCTTGATCAATCTGATAGCCTTCTGCGATGGCATGACTGGCTGGGTAGATGAGGGGAGAGCAGTGGATGTTGTCTACCTCAACTTCAGCAAGGCTTTTGACACTATCTCATAGGGAAGCTCAGGAAGTGTGGGCTAGATGAGTGGTCAGTGAGATGGATTAAGAACAGGCTGAATGGCAGAGCCTAGAGGGTTGTGATCAGTGGCACTGAGTCTAGTTGGAGGCCTGTAACTAGGCTGCCATTCAGCGAGACCTAGACAGGCTGGAGAGTTGGGCAGAGAGGAACCTCATGAGGTTCAACAAGGGCAAGTGCAGGGTCCTGCACCTGGGAAGGAACAACCCCATGCAACAGTACAGGTCAGGGGCTGACCTGCTGGACAGCAGCTCTGCAGAGAGGGACCTGGGAGTGCTGGTGGATGACAGGTTAACCATGAGCCAGCAGTGTGCCCTGGTTGCCAAGAAGGCCAATGGTGTCCTGGGATGCATTAGGAGGAGTGTGCCCAGCAGGTCAAGGGAGGTTCTCCTTCCCCTTTACCCTGCCCTAGTGAGGCCCCATCTGGAGTACTGTATCCAGTTCTGGGCCTCCCCAGTTCAAGAAAGAAGAGGAGCTACTGGAGAGAGTCCAGCGGAGGGCTACGAGGATGATGAAGGGACTGGAGCATCTCTCCTACAAAGAAAGGCTGAGGGAGCTGGGCTTGTTTAGCCTGAAGAAGAAAAGGCTGAGAGGGGATCTTACAAATGCTTCTAAGTATCTTTAGGGTACGTGTCAAGAGCATGGGTCCAAACTCTTTTCAGTGGTGCCCAGAGACAGGACAAGGGGCAACAGGCACAAACTGAAGCAATACGAAGTTCCATTTGAACACGAGGAAGAACTTCTTCACCTTGAGGATGACAGAGTACTGGAACAGGCTCCCCAGAGGCGTTGTGGAGTCTCCTTCTCTAGAGAGATCCAAACCTGCCTGGACGCAGTCCTGTGCAGCCTGCTCTAGGTGAACCTGCTTTGGCAAGGGGTTAGACTAGATATCTCCAGACATCCCTTCCAACCCCTACCATTCTGTGATTCTGTGATTCTGTGATTCTGTGAACCAGATACAGATAATTTGCATTTCGTTATGATACAAGTGAAATGTGGGTTTAGGGTTCCACCAGTGAACCCCAGGGTTTTTTTAATAGATATTACCAGAATTTAAGACATAAACACAGAGCAATGTCCTACAAAGCGAAAAATGGACATTTATGAACACATACTCCAAAGAAATCTTTCATGTCTCTCGCTGATGCAGGACTTCTATCTTACTCCCTTCTTCCTGAAATGCCCAGGTTGGAGAAAGAATATTTGCTGCACACCTAGTTTATGTAGGTTTATTATTTTCTTGTGAGTTACAGCCAAGCTCCAAATATTCATCAACTGAAAGTCTCTAAGCCCTCAGACTTCATAGGAATTTTGCACATACAGAAAGGAAAGATTAATCAAACCTCTAATGGATTAGACAGACTAATCAAAAGGCAATAGCCAAGGAACTGAGGACCAAAGTCTTGCTCTCCAACAGCTTCTTTCGGTGACCTTTGGCAAATCCTTTAATTTGTGTAGCTTGGTTTCTTTGTGCAGTCACATGCATAGATGAGGAAAATACATGTAATCACTAAAAGGTTATCAATTCTGGTGGTAATAAAGAACACACAAGCACCTATGACAGACAAATAACTACAGACATTAGGTTTCTATTTACTTTTTAGAGGTAGGAGAGTTAATACAGATGTATGAAACAGTTCAATACAACTCAAAATGCTCGTAATTGGAATTCTTAAAGAAGTTCACTGTGAATTCAAAATTAGTCTCATCTATTTTAAGCCCAGGATGAAATAATTTTAATAGCTAGGGAAAACATTTTCATTAAATATTTCCACTTTATAGGACTCTCTCTTAGCACTCATGTTACTTTGTGGAGAAACTGTATTTTTTAATCAAAACAATTTCAATACAAAATAGAAGTGCAGAAAAATGTAGAAACATTGCTAACAAGAAGTGTTCTGCAATTCTAAAAAAATTTGAAAAAAAAAACTGCTCACCAGGACACAGTATAATAAATATTACTTATAACTTATTATCGCATTACCTCTTACAGTGAGGAAATAAGTACTTTAATTTGGGAAATTTGGGCAATTTGGGGAATTTTCTCGCAATATAAGAACTGACGAAGAACCACTTTCTTAGAGGAGAAAAGATGCGTTAAACAAATGTCCAAAGATACTTTCATCCAAAGACAGGCAATGACAATGAATATGCAGGGGGGAGAAACCTACCGCTGCACGTCTCTTCACCTGTGTCCATATCTTCCAAATCTAAGTACTTGTGAACCTGCCATAAAAAACCCAAATTGGAAAACAGATTAAAATGTATGAATTCAATTTCTTATAGTACAATCTAGAGCAAAGCAAAAAAGGATTACATTGCCTCCTTCATCGTCTCCATTCTCCCCTGCATTTTTCCAAGAAAGCATGTGAATTTTCTTTGAAATGTGTAACACAAATGAAATACTTTTAAGTATAGGCAAAGATTTGCTGCCAAAATTGCTGCATATCAACTACAATGATAGGAAAGAAGCTCATGCTGTACAGCAACTTTTCCAGGAATTTAGTGGGGAGATGAAGAAGTAAAATATTTTCATAGGAAAAAGATACATGGTAAGTCACTCCACAGTTTTGCAAGCTCACTGCACATGGCACAGAGACAATACACTCTGTAAGCAAAGTAGAGCTTGATCCTTCTGTTTTGTTACTAATGGTGAACTGAATGGGAAATAAAAAAGCTAAGAATTCTTAAATTTTTAGTATTTCATCTGGGATATTGCAGTACTGTTTTTTCAGGCTGATGTCCCTTCAAAATGGTCTAAACTATCTAAAACATACCACAAGAAAAGACGTTTCTTACTTCAGGTAGCACTCTGCATTGATGCACAGGGTGAGAGTGAAAGGCTGAGAGTGAAAGGCCTTACCCAGCCGATGTGCAGAAAGTGTTACTGTGGAGGATTTACTATGTGCACTGAGTAGTCTTCTGTGTTGCCATGCAGCAAGCAGAGCTGCTTTTAGATAATTTCTTCCAGCCTGATTTGACACCATTCTCATCAACACTTACATAACCTTTACACTTTGAAAGTACATACTCCTGAACATTTGCAAAAAATTTTCTATGTTGATGCTCTCAACCTTCTTTCCCACAGATGGTAAAGAAATGCGTCAACAAATTGCAAGTACTTTGCAAATGAACAAAGCAAAAATCAGTTGCGTTGTACCCATAATCCCCACTTTGAAGAAAATCAAAGAAAACCTCACCTTCACTCTTTCAGACAGACTGAGATCATTTCCATCAGAGCCACCAGCTTTCCAGCTCTCATTCATCACTGTCTGTAGACAGACAGGCAGAAATACTTGTATGCAAGAAACAGACCCAAAATCACAGTCAAAGCTCCTACTGATTTAAACACAGAGATCCTTTATGGTATACTTAAAATTTTTTTTAAAATTGAATACAATGCTCCTGAAAATAGAATGTATGCAGGTAATCCTCTGAAATCCTACACAGGACCAGACCGAATCAATTGGAACAACAGTGCAAGTAATCACAATACGCCTAAAAAGCAGCATTTAGAAAAGAAGCATTGTTTTCAATCACAGTTTTTACTCTCTTTCCTTTCCTCAGGGTGGGCTTAACGATTACAGTGGCCAACTTACTGCATTACAGCCTCCTCCTGCTACGACGTTAGCAATTTTTCTGACACTTTCTACTATTACTGAATTTGTTTCTTAAACTGCTAATGTGACAAAAATGTGCAGCCATGCCTGGAACTTTTTTTCTATAGCAATAAAGACAAGTATTAAGATGTTTCATTAAATAAATGATAGTGGAAGTTGGACATCGCTTTACGGGGCAAAAAGCCAATTCAAAGTGGCTAAAGTAAGACACCCAAAGGCAGTCTATCCCAATGAGGCAACCATATTCTTCACGAGAAAAATTGCAAAAAGGTTCTTGTCACTGTTATTAAACAATCAACTGACAGAATGTCTTTGTTTTAAAATCCTTGCTTGATTCCACCTCAAAGGCATGTGCTAGTAGGGAGGAAAACGACAGCTTGCACACTTTGATTGAGGCCTGGCAGGCCCATCATTGGAAGGCACTTAAGTGTGTCGCTCTGTGTATTGCACAAAATGACCTGCTACTTCTTTTTCAATAAAAAGTTTAAGAGTTAGATCACAGCTTAGTTATTTGTTACTCTGGCAGAATGGCAGAAGTTCTTAACAAGTGGACTCAGATTTCCACCTCGCTCTCTCCAGATGATGTCTGTCATTTTCCTGTCCCTACACATTAAATCCCTAATCTCATATGTTTCAGGAGATTAAAAATGCCACTGGCCTGCCTATTGTTTACTTTAGGTAGCTGAAGAAATCTAGCTTCAGTAACATAGAATTCATCACTTACTAAAATCCCCAAGAAACAAAATAAATATGTGCATGCTGGCATCCATACTCTCAAGACCTTTTCCTTTTTGCCAACCTCTACTGTTAACTGCAGCCTTCAGTGAAAGCATTACGAAGGTCCTTGCAGGGTGCCTTATTTATTAGTCAGATTATGGCAGCTCTTCTGCAGAGCAAATGCCACTGCCAAACGTGATCCCTGCAGGTGCCTCTGTAAGCATTACACGCTTAGGTAGTATTTTAAATATTTGCCATAGATGGGATAAATACCACTAGCCTCTAACATTTGGACAGTGTATCTCCCCATATTTTCATCTGTTTGAATGTGATGCTTGTCCACATGGACAAATGTTAATTTGTTACCTCATTCTCATTTGGTATCTGTGGTGGAAGAGACACCCACATTTCTTTGCTTCTTCCAAGTGAGCCATCCTGTTTATTTCTGTTTGATAATTCAGAAGCAGAAAATGTTTTTCTTAGGGAGTCCACTTTCTGTCCTGGAATTGTCTTCCCCTCTTCCTCTGCAAGGAGAACCACACCAGATCAGATAACATGATGCACTATCCAAGAAAAAGAAAAACGTGAATTTTGTTAGATCTAATATTGACTTGTTTTACCATTCACTTTTCCTCTCATGCTCAGAGCTTCCATGTACCTCAAACACACGTATTTTGCAATCTTTATCATAAAATCGAACACGCAGTTTGAACTTCAAGTGCACAGAGTATCGTTCTTCAGTACTGAAGAATTAATTGTCTCAAAAGCTTATGCAATATACAGAAAACTTGATAAAATAACCCAACAGCTGAAAATACCCAAAAAGCAAGACAGTAAGTAAAGTTACACCTTAGTTTTTATTTTTAAAAATTTGTTTAAATGCTGTCTGAATGCTGCACAAAATGGCACATAACATTTGAGCCCATGCCTTCACCTGGCACTCTAAACACCACCACATATGAAGAAAGTCTCTTCACTGCGACATGACTATAAACCCCACAGCGACTGCATGCACTCAGTAGGACTGTTTTAGGTGTACATTTTTAGAATTAAGACCAGAAACCCCCCTCACTCCTCAACACCAACATACACCCCCAACACTTCACACGCCTACTTTTAAAAGTCCAGCAACTCTACTTACGTGAGATCTGTGCTCACAAAATCACTTGATATCTTAAGCAGTTCAAGTGCACATATTCCTTCACATGCCTAACTGATGGTATAGCTTCTTATCAAGCACAAGAAAGGACTCTGATTTTGATCATAGTACAGCAATGTTCTCATCCAGAAATGGAGTAGTTGTTGTATTTTCTACCGCAGCCTCTTGGTATCACCCTGAGACGACGCGTGATGAACTGACCATAACCCCCATTCCCCGTCCCCCTGCGCCGCTTGGGGGGAGGAAGGAGAGAAACGGGAGTGAAGCTGAGCCCAGGAAGAAAGGAGGGGTGGGGGGAAGGTGTTTTAAGATCTGGATTTATTTCTCACTATCCTACTCTGATTTGATTGCTGATGAATTAAATTCCCTTTTCTCCCCAAGTTCAGTCTGTTTTGTCCATGATAGTAACTGGTGAGGGATCTCTCCCTGTCCTTGTCTCGACCCTCAAGTCTTTCATCGTATTTCCTCTCCCCTGTCCAACTGAGGAGGGGGAGTGATAGAGCGGCTTTGGTGGGCACCTGGCATTTATCCAGGACAAATCTAAACAACAGCCTGGATCTATAAGCTGATTACAGATGAGAACAAGTATGTACATGGAAGTATGGACTTCCCAATCAATGCTGAATAGCCTTTTTTCCTGCAACACGGCAAAAAATATATTAATCATGGCCAAAATACAAATATAGGACTTTTTATTTTAAAAGTCTCATTATCAAATAGGGAGCAGCTACAGGACAATCAATTCAAATGAACTTCACACCACATGTTCTTAATGAAAAATAAATGCTCATTTAACAGAGTTTCTCGGGTTTAGTTTGAAAAATCTACTTTGTAACAATAAGAAACACTGCAGTGCATTTCTAAAGTACAATTATATGTTACAGGCATTGAAGTAATTCTTGTGGAGAATTTTAATGATGTCCTTGGGGTTACTACATTGAGCCATCTACCAAAGAGTTATTAATCCCCAGGGACAGCTCTGTGCTGGAGTTACTAGGACACATAGAACGGTCTGGCAGTCTGGGCATAACCTGAAGTCCACACTCATCATAGTCAGGGTTCATAGAAAGTAAATTGCACCAGACCAGAGCAATCTAGCAAACAGGTTTTGATGCTCAGACCACAGGTGCATCCTCTGAATAATTCTTAAATCCCAGGTATCTTGATACAACATCTGGCTTCTTTCTGCTTTTTTAGTAAGTACTTTCCTAAAACAATACTTGGAAACAGCAATACATACGGGCATCTCTTCTTCCTACACACTCTTTTTTAAGCTGTGGAAATGAAGCAGTATTACACAGGAAACCCTCTTTTCAATTCTTGACAGCTAAAATTGTCACCCATTATTTCAAGATATTTTTACTGTCACCCTACTTTATAGGAAGAACTAGATGACTAGCTCAAAAAGCTTCAATCTTTTGTTATTGTAGTGGTAAAACAGGACGGACTTCCTGTTTTATACTCTGAACTGACAACTTTGATATTAGAGACTGACAAACCACAAAAGGATATTAATGAATTTTAGGGTATGTGTGCATTAGCAAATTATGCAGCCGAACATGTGCAGACCTATAGAGTAATAATAGGGACTGAAGACCCAGTATCCTCCCTGTGCACAACAGGAGCCTTTATGTATGAGAAGTAAGAAGAAGCTTCTGGAAGCCATACACTTTTCTCAGCCAGATCAATAGAAAGACAAAAGGCATCATCAACTGGAATGATCAGCAACTTAATTCCTACAGCCGACAGGCTCTGAATAAACACGATATTCCTGCACAAGCCCATGCCTATCTTGGACCCCACTGCAGTCATTCTTCTGGGATATAAATCAGATCATCTTTCTCCAGAATATAGGTTCTGAATTCTCCAAATAAAATAATATCACTTTTCACATCAAAACACCTATGACGCACAGTTAGACCGTTATAATTAGACAGTACACATGAACTGACAAACTTATTTTATTAGGTTATGTATTTTCTGGACAGCTGAGCTACTGTCACAGTTAAAAAGCCAGACAGATTATATGAGCTAATGAGAAATCAAGTGAATTCATAGTATTTATGTGCCATTTACCAACCCCAGACTACAACTAGAAGCACTATCCCTTTTCCTAAGAGATCCGTCATAAACTGCGTCAGAATTTTTTTTCTGGTTAAGACCATTGCAGAGTTATTGGGTTACAGAATATTAAACATTAGATTTGATGAAACATTCAAAACTGCAATGTGATACTAGATTCATGACTGTCAGTGAAGAAAAATTCAGAAGAAAAAAGTCTAAGCAACCCAAAGCAGTTGTGAAATGCAGGCTGCAGACAGAATATCAGCTATGGAACCATGTGCATAACGAGGCTATGCCACATAAATTGGAGGGAAGGAGGCAAATCAAACAGTACGTTGCTAGCCTCAAGCACAGTCCCTCAGGGCCAGAAAGATGTCCAAAGTAATTACTATAACCTATAGTTTCTCAATGCATGCATCACATAACTGGCTCTCTTGAAGCAGTAAGTGTCATGATTTCAAAAAATACTATTAAAAACAACACAAATTGTTCTAAATTTGAAGAAACTACAATCTGCAGAGAAATATCATAGCTGTATTCCTTTGACAGTGTTCTGAATTTCAACCATTTGTGTCCTTACTTTTGAAAGAGCAGGGGAAGGAGCAAGGATCACATTCAAGCCAGCAAGAGAATCACTCTGCCTTCCCTCTGACTAAATGATAATCGACTCATTATTCACAGTCACGGTTCTCAACCTGCCAAGACCCAAACACTGGCCTTTACAACATGTGACAAAAGTCCAAAACGAGGGATACAAACAAAACAAAAAGTGGCAGAAGGCGGCTGAAATGATGGCACGATTCACACTTTCACTCTGCTGTTTTTCAGTCTTACTTTCTACGAATTCCACTGTCAGTACTTTAACAATGAAATAACAAGCCAGCTTAGGTCTCTAAAAAAGTAAATCTGAGTCTCCCAAGAGTAGTATCCATCACAATTCTGTGTCACTGAAAAATATGTTGCAGACTTCAGAAACACTTCTATCGGAAAGTATATCCAGCTTGATGATTTTTTTTTGCTCCTGCTACCTATCCTCTACATTGTTTAAAATTCTCTTTGTCTTCCAATTTGGAAGGGAATCTTTTGACAATGTCCACTGATCACCCACATATTTCAAAGAATAATGGAGTCACTTATCACAAAGCCAAAGAAGAGAGCCACCAGAGCCACCATGATTACCTCCAGTCAATGAAATCTGTTAGATGAAATACTAGCCCCAGAAGAATAATAAAAGTATCACAGTTTGACACATTTCAAAGCCAGACCAGACAAAGCAATCAATAACATACTATAGAAAACCTGGCTTGGGATAATACACTGGACAAAACAATATGAACTACCAGGCATTTCTCATCTTTTTCAATTCAATGAATTCATTTCATGAACAAAAATTGGGTGAGAATGAGAAACAGGCCCCTTTAACTATTAAAAAAATAAAAATTAAAAAAAAACCAGCAAAGCTACTATTGTAAGTTCCAATTTACTTCTTTGTCCTCAAAATGCTGGACTGAGGGCAGCAAAAGGCCTCTGAATCCCTTAAATCCCTTCCAAGTTATGTTTTGATGGAAAACCTGGGATTCAAATACAGTGACTTTGTTCAGGACTCCTGCACAAAAAATAATTTTACTCAGAGCAGCACGATAACTGACTTGCACAGAGGTCACAAGTAAAAAATTCATGTTCATTCACTATCTCCATTCTTCAAACACATCATCAGCAAACAGCCATATTTTAAAACGAGAACAAACCCTGTCACCGAAATGTTTCCATAAATTACTTCCAGATGTTCAGAAGACCATAATACTGCAGGAGAGTACCTGTATTTACCTATTTGCAACTACGAAAACCATTGTATGCTGCTGAGTTCATTCACCCTAAATGCCAAGATGTAAGAGGAGAAAACAAATTCCAAGGCCAAAAATCTGATTTGTTGGGAAGATAATTTCTAAAGCCTTCTTTTTGTTGGGAAGATAATTTCTAAAGCCTTCTTTTTTTTTTTGATAATTCAATCAAACGAGCTCCCAGATTTCCTGAAGTTACCCAATTACAACCTGCAGCATCCCTCTGCTTGTACATCGCCTAGCGGAGAACAGAACGTAGTGTTTTATTTTAAAGGTACATAGCCTAGAAAACCTGCTCTGGTTTACACTGTCAAGCCATCTTCCTGTTCCCATGTATTCAAATGCATAAACCTCTGTAAATCAATGCAGTTTGTCCAACTTCACATGGCAAAAAGCCCAAGTATCCCACACAGCAAGTACCTGGAGGCTTTCCAGAATAGGGTCCTGTACGCCTGTCCAT